AATAATGCAGATTCCTGATGTTGCTTTGTGTCTGAAGAGAAGGGAAAACACATCACAATTCCACACAGTGAAACTTAGCATTTTCATTCTTTCCTATTTATTTGTCTATTTATGTGCTCTCATACATTGAGTTGCCTCAGCTTTCTCCCCTGGGACATGATGCTTTCAGCTGGCCTGTAGAAACTAGTTCTGTGTTCAAGAAAGTGATGATTGAAAGCAGATAAAATTAGGCTATTTAGTTGTTTATTATACGTTGACACTCTCCTCAATTAAGTCCTCTTAGGAATAAGAGATTGATACGTCTATATGTGTCTCAATGTTTCTAAGTAGCTATCTGGACAACTGACATTGAATCAAATAGACTGATTGCTCCTAGTTTTCTATCCTCTTCTCTTCCTGTAGCTCATGGCAGAGTTGAAACTCCACTAAGAAGGTATCAGATTTACATATGATATTTCTAAAAGCACATAAGAGGCTCAATGAATAAAAGAACTAACAAGATATTCTAGGATCACATTGCTTTTCACTTAGTGTGATCTACAGTATCTGCACAGCTTGAATTATTTTTGCACAAGTATCGATAACTTCTAGAGTAATATCTGTAAATCAACCCACCATATTTTTTCTTAATTATGAAATGATGATAGAAAAATGACAGAAGCAACAAAATACTTTTAAGGCCTATGTGTGATCATTATTATTTAAGTAGCTTTTAATTCAGTCATTCTACTCACAGAAATATATGTACACCAAAACAAACAAAGCAAAACAACCACAAACAACAACAACAAAAAAAATCAAACACTTATTACTTTTTTCAAGGTTTTTTCTCAGTAATTGAAAGACACCAATCCATCAGTCTGTAGCACACGGAAAAAGAGAGCACAGTTTCATTAAAAAGACATCATCAAATGGCAGGGGAGGAATCCAAAGAAAGTTACTGGTTTTAGAAGTCCTTGGATTAGGCCATGTATTTTTATTTCAATAATAGGTCACAAGCTATAGCTGCAATGTTACAGTCTTTCTAAAATCACAAGAAACCTAAACCTGAGTCTTTCCACTAATAGATATGCACAGTGATTATATCTCAGCTGGGAAAAAGGAAAATCAAAATTGAAGCTGTTGCTAAATTTCCAAATTAACATTCTGAACAATGATATTCTGGGATGAAATATGAGCAAAAATATTTACTAATAATGTTCTTATGAAATTTAAAGGTAAAAGATAGTTTTACCTACAGACAAACTAGATCCACTCTCTAGAAAAGCCAGCTATGAAATCAGTATATGAAATCAGTATTTCTGGATAATTTATTACTGGCAGCTACTTTTCTAACAAATTGTTATCTCTACTCTAGAAAAACAAGGATGTGTTAATCATACAGTCAAAGAACACATCAGATGGCTGAAATGCAAGAAAGCTTACAAAACATCTTTTTAATTTTTTTAAATATTTTCCTAATTGCAGAGATGAGTAAAGCAACAAAGGAACCCAATTTCAGAGCTAAAATTTCCTGCACTAATATCAATTGACATTTTTCTTTTAGCAAGTCAACAGCCAAAAGAGGCTGGTTCTGTTCTGAGCCATCTGCTTTATTGTATTTAAAATTACACATAATGATTATATGAATTTGGACATTTAACATTTCTGGCTACTCTGAGAGAAAAATGCAATTTCATAGCCCAACTTTTCATTTATAGTTTGGCTTATGCACTGACAAGGGAGAAAACAGTTGCTCTGCAGCAGTTATTTAGGTCCCCAACCATAAAGTGAGTCAAGATTTTGGAGAGTTATATAGAAGACTTCAGGATTGCTTCAGCCTACACTAAATTACCAATAACAGCAAATGAAAAGCAGCCACAAATGAGATATTTTTACCTCTTTTACCAGGGAAATGATTCAGGACCAGTGCTCAATTCAATGAGATAAAATAAATTTAAGGTAACCATCATTAGGGACTTGGTACATGCAAGACTGTGACTTTCACATATTTATTTCTACATAGAAATCATTGCTTTGACATCTAGCCAAGTCCAAAGGTCTGAAAACACCATCAGGCCTTATACATGAGTCTTCCTTGTCTTCATTTTCTGGATTTCCATTTTTCTTTGTTAGTTTTTCATCTTCTCCACTCTAAATATCACCAAAAGTAGCAAGACAAAGTAGTTCAATAGAGGACACAGTCAAAAAATGTATTCTAGTGCATTGACAGGAATAATGCAAGTGAAATAATTTCTAGACATTTTATTCTTCATCTTCAATTAAAGTAACCCTAGAAGTACAGCAAATCAAACAACTTTTTTTTCTTAAATTGAAACATCTTTGTAAACATCTTTGATTTTAACTTCTACTTTGATTAGTGTAGTTATATCAATAATTAGTTAGTGCCCTAATAGCTCTTTGGATCTCACCAATCCTATTCTTATTTTTAATTCCATTATGAGTTTGAGGTGTTGCAGCAAATTAATAAATTTACTGTTAATAAACGAAGTGAATCACAGAACAAGGGGTTTCACTGTATGGATGTACTGGTAGTTAGTAACTTATTAAATCATTGGTTTAACAAATTTTGCTGTTGAGTCAAAAGTGGGCAGAAGGCATTTAGGGTCCCAATAAAAACCTGCTAAGACACATAGGTTATGGCTAGATCCTTGCTGAGAATTCGAGGAACGTTGTTTGCAAGATTTGATGCAAACAGTGAACTGCTGCTTAAGAAAACATCTATCCATGCATGCATGACACATATCAATCCCACATTTTTCACATTTACATGATTACATCTAAATTTCCTGTTAAAGATTTCCTTGTCTTTGTATGACTAGCATATTTTCAAGCCAGGATTTTTTTCTGCTGCAAGGAGGTTACAGAGCAACAAAAGTTATTTTTGTTAGGATTTTGAGACACAATGCAGTTTATTTATAGATTAAGAATAAGATTAAAAATGTTGAAGTAGGGGCTTTTTACTTCTTCTACGAGGCAAAAGAGCTACATAAATGAGCTTTTCTCATAAAATATGTATTGATAGACTGTTTCAGATGTTATATGCATTATAAAACAAAATAACATTACAGTAGTGGAACTACAGTATTGTGTGACAAAAGAGAAGATAATGACTAGAAAAAATATTTCCAGTGCCCATTTTAAAGTGCTTAAGCACTGTTTTGGAAAAACATTATGATCTTTATCCTGATATGCTACACAGTGTGAATGTGCAAAGGAGTTATAAAACTTCTCTGGATAAGCAGCTAAGGGGATCCCTTAATGACCAATTGATGGCAGAGATGTCACTACAACATCCACTTTGTGGCAGTGACATTTTTGTGGAGACTTGATGGCACAGACATGCCAGAGTGCCACTTTGCTGTAGCTGTTCCAGCCTGTGTAATGATACTTTGGGTACACTTAGAGACTGACAATATTATGTGGTATCAAGACAAGGCTAACTGAGGGTCGGCATGAAACTTTTGGCCCTGCTGCATAAAGTCAAAATGTTTTGAAGCAGTTTCTGAATTTATTTTGACTTTGCAATAGAATCACAGTAGAACTGAGTCAAAATTCCAGGCTCTTCTCATGTCTCTTACTAAAATAATATTACTTAAACTTTGTGCTTAAAACATCTTCTTAAAAGTACCCACTACACAGAGGGAAGAATTAGAATAGTGATGAAAATGTAATCTATATGTAAGAACAAAAAGGATGCTAAACCACACAGAATAATCTAGAGGTTGTTTCCTCGTTTGGTTTTTGTGCTAATGTATCATAACATTCAACTGTCTCAGTGAAGTTACTATTTCATAACTCATCTAAAACAAGAAGAAGTAAAGAGTAACTTGAAAATGTTGCTTAGAAAAACAAATTATATTTCTCTCTCAGGCATCTTGTCACTGTTTTTACAATTTGCAATCTTCTACTGCATACTTTCAAATTTGATACACAATTATTATGGACAAGCAGTGTGAATTAATTAGCTTTAAGGAAATGATAGCTACTATGCATGAGTTTCTTCCTGTCCCTCATGACTGAAATGAAAGTGAGATACTGCATCTCTAAAGACTTCCCTTTAGCAAATTTCATAAATAAATACCTTAACCAAATGTTTGTTAAGTAGGAACTAATGTATACTGACTAATTTGAAGAAAATCTTAGCAAAATTTCCAAGAAAGGATGACCAAGCTCCTGAATTTCCAGTGTTAGTCTAGAAGATCTTTATGTAGTGATGAATTTGTTCAGAATGTTTTTGGTTTTATTTGCCTGTGACTGTAGACTTGTTGACACCAGAATATTTAGTATTGTTCTTATGGTTAATATTTTTTTAATCAAAGCAGCATGTTGCTCAGAGTTATATCAGCTTGGAAAGTTTCTGACTGGAAAGTTTCTGAAGTTGGATATTTTCTGAGAGAAATACAGAGAGATCTGAATAAGAAACATTTCTGCTTCCACAACACATATTTTGACATGAATCTTTCATGAAAACAATTAATTATTTCCATCATTGAGCAAAAATAAACGTGAGCCATCAAAAAAATCTAGGCCCCTTTTTCAGTGAATAGCCTTGTGATGACTGAGCATAGTTAAAAATAAAACCACTTTGAACAGTTGTTAATAAAATCACTGCTGATATGAGGAAATAAATTTTCATATAACATGACAGTTTATATTTTAAAAAAACAATATTTTCCAATTTCAGTTTAAATAAGTCACTACTTTCTGAGGAAACGTGTATTACTTGCATGAATCAAATCTGGCTTCAAACTTTCAAAACTTCTTTTACATATTCTTTCATTTCCCTTAACTTTTGTTCAGCTACTGTAGAACAGGAATTTATTTGATGGGGTGACATGAATCTTGAAAGCCTGGACTAATACCTCTCAGAGATGGTGTCAGAGAAGAAGCCATTTAGCTGAGTTTTTGGAAACTGTCTGGATGACTTAAGGAAGGAGGAGAAACTGAATATTTCTGACTGCTCAGTTAAATTAATAATTTTAATTAGGTGTACTAACCTTTTTCTCTTAGGAGGAGTGTCTTCTGGCCATGTAACTGAGCAGCATGAACAAGACAGGCAGGAACATTTTCCTAGCAGACTTAAGAGCCTCTTCCAGCCCCCTGCCACATTGAAGCAAGCACCATCCACGTATCCTAACCTACATCCTCCTGTGCCAGAACAGAAACAAGCGTAAGAGCTTGATGAGCGTAGCCCAGCTAGGTTTGGAGTCCTGATAAGCGGCAAATGTTGATTTCTAGGTCATTCTCTGATGTCCAGAAATCTATACAAAACCTATTCTTGGTTTCTTTTTTTTCTGAAGCTTTTGCTTTACTCTTACTGTAACAGCACCACTGATATTAATTGCTTACATTTGTAGGCATTTACAAACTCATTAGTCATCACAATACAACCACACTCAATGATGCAGTGGAAGAGAGCGAGGAAAAACTCAGCCCAAAAGCAAGTAAGACATCCAGATAAACTGGATGCCCACCACTGCCATTAAGATCAACAGTGAATTTCCTTTTTTGCTTACACCACAGCTGTACAGTTGCTTTCAGTTCAATTACCATATAATTTAAAAGCTGTAGTTTACACATCTGTCTCTGGCAGACCTCAGGCATCAAGGGATGGCTAAAGCAGGCTCTTCCACACAAACATCTTCAGTGCTCTGGGCACTTCTGCACCTGAAGGAAAACAACATGGAGCTGAGAAGGTGTGGAGACAGTAATAACCTTAACAGGGACAGATGAGAAAGACTGATATTGTTTGATGCAAAGAGAAGGATGATGGGGTATGTTTGAAGGTCTGTAAAATCACAAGGGTGAGTGAACACAGAACTAATCATTGAATAAGCCCAAAGAACTAGCTCTTAATTAATTTATCATATCAGTTAAAAGTTTTTAAAAGAAAATATTTTGATACAGTACCAAGTGAATTTCTGAAATTTGTTGCCTCAGGAGCCTCTCAGAGACAGCATATTAAAAAAATTCAGACAAATTTAAAGACAACAGGGCCATAAACAGATACTAAAGTGAATTATCAAAAAGTCACCTTCTAATATTTTAAATCTAATAATTGTGGATTTATAATTTCTCTGATTTCAAGAACTTACAAGTTCTTACAATTTCTATTCTGTTCTTACAGCTTTTTAATCTGGTTTTCAAGAGTTGTTTGAATAAAGCCCTGAGTAACCTGCTCTCACCTCACAGCTGATAGTGCTTTGAGTAGTAAATTGCATGAGAATCTCTCCTGAGGTCCTTTCCAGTCTGAAATATCTTATGATCTTAACTTGTGAGTTGAATAATTTAAGAATTCAGGAAAAATAAGATCATTATTGTTCTAGTGTGAGTATTGTCCTCATCAGAAAAGCTTCATCAGAGAGAAAAGCACAGCTGTATTGAAAGGTTGTACTGAAAAAGGCTGTATTGAAAGGCTGTATTGAAAAATTAAAAATCTGCTACAAAGTTTAGCACATATTAAAATTAATGGGGCATATTTTGAAACTGCTTAAAGTCCATTCATTGTCACTGTAATAGTTAAAATGGGTAGAGGATAAGTTTTAACTTGGTGGTATTTCAGGAGCCTAGCTAGAGGGCAAATCTTAGCCCATGGAAATGTTCCTTTTTCATTTTGGAAGGAAAGCAGTTGAGCTTTCTTGCTTAACAATAACCTCATTAATAAAACTCCACAGTGAGAAACTTGCTTGTGCACTGATCCAAGGGTAATGCAAATGGGGAAACCAGGCTGTCCATGAAATGAAACGCTTTCACATCTTGTAGAAACAGGATCCATAAAAGTCTATCCGTGTTCCCAGGGAAGGGACCTTTCTGCTTTGCCTCTTACCTGCTTCTTTTTCTCCGTTTTCATCATGTTATTAAACAGTAAAGTTAAAATAGATGATCAACTATGTTTCTGCTTCTTAGTCTAGATTTTTCTTGCCTGGGGGCTTCCTGAGCTCACAGTAGGAATCACAAAATCTGAAAGTGGCTCTTGAAAAACCCATAACTGCATTTCCTTCTTTCCAAGCCCATTCATGCATCCTCATGCATGGGTTTGGCTGCTGCTATTGCCACATTCAGTTTGGAAAATGGCGTTCCACACCCACCTCACAGAAAAAGACAAAAAATTACATGCATATTTATCAGCATAAATATGGTTTTACTGAATTTAGTAGTAACACTATCTGACAGTAGTCATATTTCTGCAAAGGACTTGGTAGCACAATTCAGTGTGTATCTTCTGAGGAATGAAGGGGAAAAGATTTGATTTTCTCCTTCCCTGCTTAGCCTTTCTAAAAAGCAAGAATTCTTCCTAATGTTATGCAGCAGCCCACAGTTTACTCCACCGCCCTAAGAAACTTCACATTATTCAACTACTTTCTAAAAAGCTCAAATATGAGTCGGGTTCAAAGTGATACTGGGTGATAGAGAGAAAATCAACAGATTTCATCACATCCAGAATATAATATCCCAAATTATCTTCCATTTTGAATACCAGCATCTGCCCTAGCCATGTCAATTGTTCACTCTAAGAGGCTCATGACTGAAACATTTATATCAACCATTTTATTTCCCCTGGGAGTGAGTCACAAGCTGGTGATGAAAACTGGTGTCTTTCCATTGATTTTAATGGAGCTATTCCAGCTGGCACTGTCTAAAAATTTCATGCCTTATCTCAGATTCCACACTTCATATGACTTAGTTCATTATGAAAGCAAAACCTTGTGGGAAGAAGCCATGACTCTCTGCTCCACTGTCTCATTACTAACGCTTACAGAAGATTAGATTTTAGAATTCATGATAAGCTGAGTACTTCAAAAAGAAAAAAAAGTTAAAATAATAATACCAAAAAGAAAAAGAAATATATTTTCCAATTTCACTGATACCATACAACATTAGAGAGGAGTGAAGAAACTACTTGAAAAAACCTATAGGACAACCCAAAGTTTACACTTCATTTTTAGATAATCTCCAAGTTTGTAGGATAAATATGAAATGGAAAAGAAATTTGGACATTTCTCAGGCATTTGGACAATTTCCCATGATGTTTTCTTCTGATTATGACTATTGATGTAGAATTCATTATTAGGGAAAGCCTTTATATCTGAGACAGATCTTAGATACAAATTTAAGAGAGATTTAAATTCTCCAGCACTGAAATATCTGTTTTTTTCTTGTTTGTTCATTTTAATGAGGTATATACCACTGACCTAACTTCCTATAATTCAACTTAAGAAGTATAGGGAGAAAGAGGAGTCTGAAAATCCACAAAAATCACAGAGCATAGCTGGAAGCCAGCTCCATATAACGTTTGTAAAGCAAATGGATTAGACAGTGGAAAAGGCACTGCCTAGAACACAGCCTACGGTAAGGGACAAATTTTGGGATAAACGTTCTAACTACTTGAAGCAAGATCAATGAACAGATTTGGAGTCTGCATTCCTCCTGCCACACTCTCTAAATACAGCAAAAACCCCTCTTTAAGGATGCAGTTATGTTCACATTCACTCCACATCCTTCCTTTGACCTTCTTAACTTCTCTTGACCTCTTCCCCTTCCACACACAATTAGGAACCAGAGTACAAAGCACTGCTCCTATAAGGCCACTTCCACCAAGTTAATTAGAAGTACATCTGATACACAGATGGTGTGAAACTCTTCAGTGTCCCACCCACATCAAACACCCCTCAGTGCACAAATTATGCCTCAGCATCTGACCAAAGAATGGAGCCCTTAGTTTAAAAGATCAAAGCCTTTAAAATGAAAACATAGCAGAGGAGTGAGGCTGAAGTGATGAAGGATACTGCCTATGTTTAGAAATTCTGCAACAATTTCTGATTAAACCTCCCGATGTTCCCTGAAACAAGATAATATAAAACACAACCAAGCAAGATATTCTGACAAAAAGGAAAACTCCTTCTTTCCTTCAAATCATAGACCTGGTTGTGTGGGAAGTGACCATGATCATCCTCTAGCAGTAAACCCCTCACCATGAGAGAACTAGAGACTGTCACACCACCCTGCTGCATGCAGGTTAGACCCCTAAAGGGTCTAAAAGTGACTGCAGCCAGAGGCTTTCCTGGCATCTGTCCTCACCAGCTCCCAGGGCAGTTCTGATGCCTTGAGAGGCATGGCTTTTTCAGTGGAGAGCAGCACCAGCCCCTACCGCACACAACATCCCAGTACTGCTCCCCAGGCCAAATCACTTACTGAATAAGAGGATATTTCTTTCTGAGCTAGAAATCTTCAAAGACAGCAGTAATTGAATTCAACACTGATACAAAGGAAGAGTATAAAGAGAGTGATCATATCTCCTTTCAATTTCTGTGTGGTACTCGGGTACAGGGTATGGGCCTTCCAAACTTACTGACAATGAAGAGAGAGAAAAGGAGGAAATAAAAAACATCAATTGCTCAATGTGCCATCACAGTCAAGAAATTACCACATATCCATCTAAAATGTCATCTCCTCCAGAATATTATGTGCAGCATTGATCACAGGGTTTCAAAAGAAGTGTCAAACTGGCAGAGGCTCGGAGAAGGAAGCTTGAAATTCTGAAAAAAAATCCAGAGAAATTAATAAATGGGTGGGAAAACACTCAGTAAGGTTGGAATCATTTCATTTTAAAAGGTGATACAAAAATGTCTCTTTGTTTTGATGTAAGGACATCAGAATAAAAAACTCATGCAATGATAGTCTGGAAATGGTTGGGAGTTTCTCATCTCCATTTCTTGTAATAAATACGTGTGAAAAAATTCATAATAAGTACCTTTTCTTCCACATAGCAGAATAGAATTCACTGTTCCTTGAAGATACTGAAGCAAAATCTTAGAGAGCCAAAAAGAAGATATCTCTAATCAGCATCCAGAATTCTTACAAGTGTCAATAATTTTTGTTTTGGAATATTTACAAAACTGCAGGAATAAGGCTAAGAGGTTTCTATCCAGCAGAAGTTTAAGACCTAGAAAAACAGAAAGGACAAGAGAAAATTTTTCTAAATTAAACAACCAAGAAATTATCTTTTTTTCTGTTGCTACAGGTACAGTAAATAATATCTTTCCTAAGGTCAAAATAAACAAAATAAAAATACTGAACAAGTTAAACCTCTGGTCCACTCACTCCAGTACCTCAACTCCTAAAATCAAAAGAGATTAAATTTATCTAGAATAGATGAGTAATGTTACTTTTTTTGAACAGAAATAGATTGATAGCAACTGTATCTTTCAAGCAATCCTGCTACAAAAAACATACAGGTAATAAACTCTATGTTCTCTTACTTACCTGATGTTTCACTTTTTTATTAAGCAATACTTTTTATGTTATTTCATTCTAGCACCTTCAGGTACAATTGTTTTGGGATGATTTCTTTTTTCTGTATCGAGTTCACCAGGGCATCATATACTTTGTCTTTACTTTGGCTCTGTTTTTATCAAACTTTATCCTAAAAAGAGGTTTGGTATGTAAATTATAATTCACAGTGCATACCTTATTGTATATACTCATCTATACCTTGCAGATATTGGGCTTTTCATTTTTTTTAATGGCAGCATAGTTATTGAATAAAAAACTAAGAAATGTCTTTCAGTAAGTTAAGCAAACATTTATGACCTCACTTTCAAAAGTTATATCCAAATATATATGAAAAATAGAAGAATAAATTATCATGAATTCCACAGTTATTGGCTGATATTACAGTATGCCTGTGACAAACAAGGTTAACCAGACAGCTCAGAACACTATTTTCATACTCTTCAAAATTGTGTGCTTTTATACACTGATTCATTTTAATGAAATGTAAATTTAAAGTCTTATTTTCTCATTTGCTATATATCATTAAAGCACTTTTTCACATGGCCATTATAGCCCTTTATTTCCTTTTCAATTTAATCATTCATTCTTTATTTGGCTCCAGTGGAGGGCAGCAAGGATGACTGGGGACAGGAGCATCTCTCTTATCAGGAAAGACTGAGGGAGCTGGGCCTGTTCAGCCTTGAGAAGAAAAAACTGAGAGGGGACCTCATCAATGTCTGTCAGTACCTGAAGGGGGCTGACAAGAGGATGTTTCCAGGCTCTGCTCAGTGGTGCCAAGCAACAGGACAAGAGGCAATGGGCTGGAACTGATGCCCAGGAAGCTCCACCTGAACGTGAGGAAGAACTTCTTTACTGTGCAATGAGCAAGCACTGGAGCAGGTTGCCCAGAGAGGGTGTGGGGTCTCCCTCACTGGAGATACTCAAGAACTGTCTGGACCCAATCCTGTATCTTGTGCACTGGGATGACCCTGCTTGAGCAGGGAGGCTGGACCAAATGACACACTGTGGTCCCTTAAAACCTTCCCATTCTGTGAATATATCTGGTTTTCAAAAAAAAAAAAAAAGACATGAAATAAGGCCCACTGCACCAAATTTCCCAATATTTTTTGTCGTTATCATTATTATTATCTCATAATTACAGTTCACTTCTTAAATGGAAGAAGAAATACCAATTGCTTGTGAAAGTCTTATACATCCTGCAAAGTCTTCTAAAAAAAAGCCACTAGTTTTCTAAAAATAAATCATAAGAAAACATAATAGCAAACACTGTTACAAAGCTTTCCTCTTTATAGATTCTATTTTAAATCAGCTAAAATGAAAAAATTTTCCTGTGCAGCTGTTATGACACATAATCAAAATCTTTCTTACATTAATATTTAAGTGGGTACAGATTTTACTTTATTTCATGCTAAATTTCTGAATGTTTGAAAGAGTGGCCTCACTGCCTTATTTCCTTAATGAAATATCATAAAGCTTTTATATAAATAAATAAATAAATGTAGATCATCTAATTATCTGTTTTAGTTTTCTTTTTTAAGCAGACAAAGCAATCTCAAAGACTTGAGTGGGGATTAGAAAAACAGAGGTCTTCTTTTCTCATTTTTTCAATGGTAACTTACAAAATTTTTTAAAAAGGCAAACCAAGAACATTTCATACATGCTATTTTATTTTAATGTCACTTTTTAGAATTAAATACTTTTAAGGAATTAATTTGGAAAATTTTATGCATGGTCTTTGCTAGTCAAAAAATTAAACTGTAAAATTGCATTCAGATAGATTTGTTTACCAATATTTTTATTGTTTTTACATACATAAGAAATCTGCATTGTATTCACTGAATTTATCCAGAATCCCACCCTGCATTGTCTCGGGATAAGTATGTGAGTTTCAAACAATTTGGTCACACTCACATGATGAGAGTTAAAAAGTAATGAAAGGATGAGAACATCTATTGTCTCACAATAGTTGCAAATGAGCTTAGATTGGACTACTGAGAAATCTTCATCTCACTCTAACCAGTTATAAAATCTTCAGTGCAGTGATGAGACCACAGTCTTCAACAGTGTAACATACACATTACATAGAGTTGCATAACATGTAATTTGCATAAATTGGGCTTATTCAATTATTTTTATAAGACATTGAAGATTATTTCAAGGATATCTTTCTAAAGATCTGTATCTCTACTTGTTAAATAATATTTCTCTCTTTGAGTGGCAGTCTTCATTGACAGACCTTCCTGAGACCTTATTTTTCACCCACATTGCTACTTGAATGAACTGTTCAAATTATAACCTGAACCTCAGCAGCTCAGGTTTCTGCAACTGTAAAAGAAACATGCTCAGTACAAGAATGAAAAATAATCACACCTACTTATCTTCTACTTGCTTTCCAAAACTCATGGTTTCCTACAAATTGTAACTCAGCAATTTAGGTACACAAAAATAAACAGTGCTAGGATGCTCCCACCCCAGCAGGATTTCAGGTCAGAATACTCAGCATTGTGAGGTTATAAACTAAGCCACCTTTTACTATGCACTTGTGCCAGATTATGAACATCCAAACTTAATAGTTATTACTTCTCAGGTATAAGAGAAGACAAGATTTTCTTTGCTGTGGGACTACAGCAGAGTTCCTGCCTTGTTCAGCACCACAGCACCCCACAGCATGCTCAGAGAGAACAAGATTCCTCTAAGCAAATTCAGCAAGGGCTTCTCAACTTCTGCAGAGAGAAAGAAGCAGTTCCATGACCACAGGAGGGCCAAAGGGCTTTCAAACTTCACAAATCTTCTGATCATTCCTGCTACAGATATGGAAAAGAGCTATAGACATCACAGAGAAATAGATACTGTGGGAGAGAAGAACCAGAGTTTTAGCCTGCCAAAAGTCCAAGGTTTGATATGATTGCCCTCTGCAGACATATCAAGAGGCAGTGTATTAAAAAGAGAAAAATGTCATTTCAAATCAAGGATAATGTGAGACAAGGAAAAAAAAAGGCCATAAATTGGGCATGAGGAACTGAAATCCTTTTGGAAATTCAAAGCAAGTGCCTTGTTACCAAAATACTGGGAACCACAATCATCAAAATGCTTTTAAGGTGGATTTTGGTGAAATTATTAATGGCATTGCATGATGTAATGAGGGAGGGAGGGAGGGAGGAAGGAATAGCTAACCAGGATATCAGCAAATAGGAACATCTGATATTTCATTGTTTACCTCACAAACTACAATGTTTAAAGTTGCTGATTCAGGCATCTTTTACAGCTTGCTAAGGATGTAAATTTGCACACCACTGCTGCAATTCATCTGTCAGTGTCCCTGTTCTGATGTGTATCATCTTCATCTTTTCAAGGAACATGCCAAGTAATATAAAAGGCTACCCCTTCTTTACTATATAGTTTACAAAAAAAGGCCATGAAGGCAAAAAAGTAGCAGTTCTTATGAGAAGGAAATAAAAGATGTCATTATCTTTGATGGTAATGCAATACAGGAAGATTTGGAGTCTTAAGGACTTAAATTTAAAGCTATAAGGGGTTTTTAAAGTAAGTATTTTTGTAAATGTGTCACTCCAAGCTTTGTCTTCTAACGTGATCTTTGAAACCTTATTTTTAAATAAATACAGGATAAGATGTTTTATAAATACGTAATATAGATAATGGAACTTTTATAATTACTGTAGACTAAAAGTGCAAATTATACACCTTGCTCTCTAGTATGTATTTGTTTTGTATGAAAGTTCAAGGTCTTTATGAAAACACAAAGATGCATTTTGGATGCACTAGAAATAAGGTATATAAATTTTGCAGCAATATAGCAGTCCTTCAGACAGCATTCTATAATACAAATTATTTTCTAGGGAATTAGGTTTCTTTTCCATAAAGCATGCTGTACACAGATCTTGGGGTCAATCATTCTCAATCTTCATTGAAGAAATTAGATTACCACATTATTATTGAATGATCAAATTGATGATTAAAATTAATTAAATGAGAAAGAAATTTTTGCAATGCATATAAAATTGAGGTCAGAAAGGAAATATATTTGAAATTATCTATAAAATGAAAGTATGGCCATATATCAGGTAATACTAGAGACAGTCAGTTTTTTGATTGTATTAATCACATCCAGAGGACAATTTCTAAATAGCTAATTAAACAAGACTGGAGACAGAGCCTTCCACTGTGCTCCTTGGCTCAGTACTCACTCTCTTATGGGTCTTTCCCATGAGACAACCCTTGTTTTTGGCACCTCTCAAACTGCCCTTTTAGAAATCACTATGTACAGTCATAATGACCCAAAGATGTGAAAGCAAATAAATTTATCATTAAAAAGGGAAATCCTACAAAGGAAAAATAATGGAAATATCTTTGTTCAATAGCTGATGCCTTTAAAGACACATAACCCCGAGGAATAATTACACAGACTTAAGTTATGTGAATTCAGGACAGGCAAATAGCATAGAGAATTTTTTTTTATAATTTTATAACTATACAGAAAGGTCCTCTGAAAATTGTTTTTCATATCTCTGGGCCAAATCTAGAAACAGACATGCTGGTAACACATATTAAAATCCCTGAAGAATGAGACATTATAATTTTTACTCAAATTGTATAATATTCATGCAAATTTTTTATCTAGTTTTGAAAGTGACATTTATTTTTATGGATACAACTATTTTTTTTTTTTTATTTATAACATTTACTGACAAGTTGGAACAGTAAAAGCACTTGGATGTCACTTTTTTTAAACTATTATTCTCTAGGTTGTACAGTATAAAAAGAAAAATTCTGCTTTTCCAGCAAATTTTAAATTCATGACAGCCCCTCTTCAACACAAATTTGTACAGGTGATGTATATTTTATAGAAAATTAAATATGCCATTTGAAACTATTAATTTTGTAGAATTACTGTTTTTACTGTTGAGACATCTTCTACTCTACCACCAAATCTCTTTCTGTTTATGTTTTCTTTATCTGTTTATGCCTTCTTTAGCTTGATTTGGGGCAATATGGTTTGAATTCATGATGTCTGGTATAAGACACTGGTCATCAGAAATTATCTTAGTTGGTCCTTTAAGGTACATTAGAAAGTGTGATTTTTGGAGTTTTGAACTCAGTAGTGATATTGTCATTGATGTGAATAGAGAATGGGTAAAGGAGAGTAGTTTACACCCTTTTAAGAGAGAAATATACAAACAATACATAAAGTATTGACAATTTCTATATTGATGAAGGTATAAGCACTTCTCTCACAGAGAAGCAGAAGCAAATTAGCTTCAGATTCTCAGCAGGATCAATGAGTGATAGTTACTGATCAACCAATATTTTTATGAAGTGGATAATGAAACTGAGTCTCAGTACCCTATTTTGGATTCTTGGCTTAAAGATTTTTTTTTAAATGTAACCTGTTAAGTGATGTGCATTTTTGTGCTGAGGGAGCTAAGTATCATCATGACTTAACAACCAGAACTTAAATAATAATTTTCAGTGTTAAAAGCCATGTTGGCAACTGTTTCAAATCACATGTAATAGTTGGAGGTACAGCATTGGAAGAAAAATTGTGGAGAGGTGGCACAAGGAAAAAAATTAAGATGGTAAAAAAGATAAACATTACATAATTTCAAAGTCAAGTATTCAATTCAAATAATGTATTCAAATCATAGAACCCTATAAAAAGATCAATGCAAAAGCACGTGGAAATTACATAGCAAAACTTTTTTCTGCTGATAAAAGTCATGCACCTCTCTTGGTGCTAAATTTTACAAGTGGGGAGAGAAATAATGAGATTTATCTAAAAGTATCTTTTTTCAAGCTTGAAAAATAAGTCAAGTATCCCAGATGATAACTGGAACAGAAGAAAAAAAATAAACAAGTAATTTTTTTCATTGCTTAAAAATTCTATTTCTTAATGAGTCTTTAGGTGTATTTTGGAAGACAACATGCTTTTAGAAGCACTGGCATAAATAATAAAGTCAAAATGATACCTGCCATCAGTAGCCCCAAATGCATGTCTGACTTTTTCTGCCCCTCTTCTTTCCCCATCTTAACACAATTACCAGTGGAGTAAATGCCCCAGCTTTTCAGAGATCTCCTGATTGTATTAAGGGCCAGTCTAACATTAGGAAGGAAAGCACAGCTGCAAGAACAGTATTCCCATACTGAGACACAAGAGAGATGAAGGAGAGATACGAAGGAGGGATGTTTCTTGTGATGGAAGGAATATGCTCCTCCATTGTGGTACAATCTGACTTCATGAATGTTACAGCTCTTTCAGCTGAGGATTAAGCTAAAACATAACTTTGCTCTTTAGTCAGCCTTCTTCTCTCCTTTTCATCTCCTCTATCCATCCACAGAAACTGTTCTGATCAAGTAACTGATAGAACTGTGAATGAAGAGGAAAGAAGATCTAAAGAGTAATGTACTGATCCATTCCCTCCTATCAAAGGTTTTGCTAATCTCATACTATTTGACTGTTTTAGCTAGAAATTCTCACTTTACCTAACATTTAGTGATGTTATATATTCATGTACACATATCATTTTACCGGGATCACAAAGTTTTTTCCAAATAGAATGTACACAATGCAAGAATTTTTTTAGGCCTAGTAATCATAGCTAGCTCTAAGGTGTATTGTCAGGGGCTATAGTGATTTTACACAATAGTTTATAATACCTACCAATAATATACACCTACTTTGAACTGCAGGTGAAATTCAGTAAGGACAAAATAATGATCCAAACTGGAATTGGAACAGAGTGATAACAACTCCATTCTTGCAGAACAATAGTGACATGCTTTTGGTTTTGTCACTTATGGGAAAAATGTAATCACCTTTATCACATGGGGTTCCTTACTCACTGCTGAGACATAAATTCACAATTTACTTAAATCAGCACAGAATTTTGTTTAAAACCTTCAACAGTTAAATCTTGATTTTCTTTATTGTTTTCTATCCTGGTTTTACCAGAGGGAAACATACATCTTTGATTACTTTTATTCCTTTCATTTTTCTTCCCCAGGAACCAGCCTGTTTGATTACAAAACTGGAAAAATATAGTCCCAACTGGTTTTTGCCAATGGAAAAACCATTTTAGATGGATCTCAGAAGCTGATCCCTGTTCTCTGCAACAGCACTAACATTTGGTTTTTATGTGCAAGGATCAAGTTGTTATTTTCTACAAACACTGTCTTTTAAACGACCTTGACTTTCCATGAAATAATTTTGTTTTGTTTTTCTGAACTGAAGAATCATTCCTGTCATCTGGAAGCAGAGCCTTTGATACTGATGAATGCCCTTTAAGAATTTTACATGTATATTTCACAGTTACCTGTGTGTTCAAATCACATGACTGAGAAAATCATAATTGTAGTTAATCTCAAAATTAACAAAATCTTTCAACATTACCAGCGATTATATTGAAAAAAATAGATTCTTATTGTGGCAGTAATCAATAAAAGACCTGGGCATGCTTTTGCAGTTCCCTTTTATCAGTTATTCTGTCTGAATCAGATACATCCATTGCAATTATCCTATAGATCATAAGAAATACTGAAGCTACAGCCTGAATACAGGCAACATACATTATTTAGAGACAGGTTTTCAAGATGTGCGTACTAAATAACTGGAACTGCTATACCATGTTTCAACTTGAGAGGAAACAATGGAGGGTAATACTTACTTCATCATCTGCACATAGGAGGTGAAGAAAAATATTTCTGTGTCCCTCAGCTATTTTCTGAAGGCTTGAGAACAGCTGCAAAATAGGCCATAAATAGGAGTTTGTCAACTTTCTTATTAACCCAAATCAGACAAAACAGGTTTCCAAGGAGGTAACACACATCAGAATGAAACATGCTGAAGTTCTTCAGCAGAAGCTCAAAACCATTTCTATCAACCCCATCTTCTGACTGGTTTGTGTCACCATAAAGGAGCTACTGTGATCCACTCCTCCTCTTTACTTGGTTGGAGACTAGGACCCAGCAGATGCCCTTTTTCTCTGTCATGACCTGTTGTGCCAGGTCATGACAGCACTTGGAAGCTGGTGCAAGGAAAGCACCCAAAGGAGCTGTCTGTTCAGGGATTCATCAATTAGAGCAAGGGGATGGAGAACAGAAGATAGAGTATTATGAGTTATTACAAAATTATAATAGCTGCTTCTGCCTTTATAGCATTTAACACAAGACACTCATCATTAAATATTATTCAACTTTTCTGTACAAGAATTAGGATCAATATTACAGTAATCCAAAAGACTATAAAAAGCTACCTCTGTGATTGTCCTTCAAGATTTTTACATATTTTCCAATCATCACATTAAACTAGCCTATTACCTTAAACAGTCACTGCTACAAGTACTTTTCTTACCACTTTCCCACTGCCTTGGCGCTCTCCTAAAAGAACAGGGCAAAGTTTAGCAAAAAAGTTATAAATAAAATCTAATCAGCCCACCACTGAGTTCAAATAATTGTAAGATGTAGAATAGGGCTGAGTCAGGGTGTTGACTGACTTTGCTTAATTGCTCCCACTGACATCAGAAGTAAAATTCCTACTCACGTCTCAGGGAGTGGCATTAGTTTTACTAATCTAGCAGATTAACTACAACTGCACCTTTCTTCCTGCCTTCTACATTTTTTCCATTCTAACTGCTCTCCTGGCCTGCTTTTCCCTTGGGGTCAGTTGTGCTCTCTGACCTGCATTTGTCTAATACTACTTCACTTGGACTGTCCCTAACCTAAGCTCAGTTTTTAATTCATGTTTAAATTGATATTTCTACATTAAACATCAATCCATGGCTATGCAGGTAAGGGGGTTTTTTTCAGTTATTTTCAGTGTTTTTCTTGTTCTCATATCTCCTCAACCAAAAAGTATATTAGAGTAATTTACAAGCATCACCCTTATCAAATTTGTCCCTGACAGGTGAATTCTGAAACTTAATGATGGATGATCTGACATAAAATGAACCAAAATTTAGATTATCAATTCTGTTCCCTAGGATTAACTCAACAATGAATACATATTCTGTAATAAAATCAACTCAATGAGTGTTTAAAATATTTTTCTGCTAAATAGAATGTGCTAAATAATTGTGACTGATCTAAATCCCAGAAGATTAGCCCTCTGGTACAGATTTCTGAACTATGCCATATATTTATCTTACCTAGACAGTGCTAACACTGGAACCTTTCTTTAGCCGCTTGTGTTCTCTCTTTTCATTTTAGAATGGTGATACTTCCAATTGAAAAAGATTTTAATTTTGCTGCCACTTTTGATTCTGCCTGTCCAGATATACACCTCAACACAGCACACCTTAATTAATCTCCATGTTTCAGTTTTAGGTCCACATTTTCCAAAAAGAAAAAAAATCTTCCTTTTGGGCTTGACTTCATAAATGCAAATGATTTTCCTTGTATTCAGCCTAACATTTTCTAAAATGTTAGACTGAATGCAAGGAAAGTAATTTTTCTTTGCAATTACATTGCAAGTTTCATACATATAGCATACTAATCTTCATTTCATTACACAACTGCAGTTATACAAAGTACTTTAAGCCCAGAAAAACAATGATTTGGATATGATTTCATGCAACAGAACAATTACATCTACAAAATATTTCCTATTTATTATAAGTACACTCTAAATTGACTAATTTTGGAGCTACAACTAGAAAAGCTGCTGTTAAAACATTATTTTCTAATGAAAACAATCTGCAGCATGTATGACTTTTTTTGTCTAGTACATAGCAACTGAAATAATGTTTTATGTAGAATGCTTGTTACATTCCATCACCTCTTGTTCACAGTAAGTAAAGCTGAAGTAGAGAGTGAGATTGCCCTCACCTTCTGATCCAGCAAATAAAGAAATGTAGCACTTCAACTGTTAGGAGTAGTCTCTGCCTGAACTAACCCTAGCAATTTTCTGTGGATCTACCGGTAGTTAAAACTAAAACCCTCAATAGATAAGTAATTTCCATTCCTAGGGTAAGATTTGGGAAGAATTAGAAAAAAGGTTCTCTGGAATAAACTCAAGCAGGACATTGCAAGATGTGTTAGAGTGAAATTTATGACTACAGAATGAAAATTGAGATCCTTATTCAGATAAATTTAGACTGGACTCAGATTAGGGATATTTTATTGACATTTTTTATCACACTCGAGGCCAGACCTGAGTGATGAGCACTTAAATGGCAAAATTCAAAACACAAGAGGTAGGCATATTAAACAAATATGTCTCAAAATCTGTATCAGAGGTTTTAAGATGGATTCTTAAAAGAAAGCATCAAATTAACTACAGATATCTTTCTGTAAATTCTTAAATTCAAGAAAAAAGAAATATGGGTTTATAATTATAAAATTAATTCTAAAGCACTGGAGCAAGAAGAGAGTAAAATTTTTCTTCAGATTGTTACCAGCACAGTATTTGCTGTCCTTAATAACAGGTTGAAACAACACATTTGTGAATGTCAGAGCTCTTTAAAAAATCATGAGGTTTTGAAGACAGCATTAAGTCCTCTGGCAGTCTCTGTGTTTGTTTTTTGAGTTTTCCTTTTAAAAATACTCTTTTTTACATCTGGATGAAACTTGAAACAGATTTATAGATTACGAGGCTAATATGGAGCAAGAAGAAAACTAAGAGAGCTGAAGCTGACAGAACTCTTGGGTTAGTAAGCTCAAAGAGGATTTAAGGCAGAATATGGTGATACGCTACCACACAGACAAAAGGGTATCTGATTTCGCAATCTTCTGACTTGGTGATAAAAGTGGTGAACCTTTTTCGTTGACCTTCTCCACAGGGTGCAAACTGAAAAAGGAAAGATTAAAATGCTCTATTTTTGTCCAAATGGCCTAGAGTTATTTTATTTGTGGGGATTATAATTGTAGGGAATGTTCAGAGTCTGTGCTGAATCTTTATCAGTAAAGAAAGCACAACAAATTAAAAGGGTAGAGATGCTGAGAAAAGCAATCTCTAAAAAATTCATTATGAATTTCAGAGCCCAATGTTTCTCAGCCCAACCTTTTGCTGTTGCCACTGCAAGACAATCCTACTGATAGTTATCTTCAACAAACACTCAAAAAGAAAATATCCATGGGAATGGGATTGTGTTCATCTGCAGTTGTGCCTAGGAAGAGGGCAGGTAAATCACCATCAGTCAGTAGTCTGATGCCAAAAAGTCACTGAGGACAATTTCAAAAAAACAATCTTGTTGATTCCTGCTCTTTATCCAAGTTCCTATTTGGTTGTGAGAGTACAAGCTAATTTGGGGCACAGTTCTAGCAGTGGAGTCCTGTAAATCTCCACTTCATGGCCATAAAAAAAAATGTCAAATGCTAAACATGGTAAACCATTTACTTATAACAAATATATTATTTACATCGACAAGGTTCTGTCAGAATCTATCACACATTCTACAGTATGACAAAAATTTATTGAGCATTAGCTGCTATATGTAACACCAAATGGCTCAGACAAAATCCTCAAAGAAAGATAATCTTCCATACCATCTACCTATCAGTTATTTGAGGCTTAAGTGCTCCAAAGGTCATACACATTCTTCTTTAATGAGGAAGAAGTTACCTTATGCACACATCTGTCCTTATTCAGTTAATGAACCTTCTCTTCAATTGATTAACTTGTTGACATATAATATCTTGAAGACCTTACAAGCTATATGTCAAATGGTGACATGTGCACATATAATGAAGCACACTGCTGGCAGGAGTGAAATACAAACTTCAGGGTCAGACAGCTAGCTAGACACTTGATAATTTCTAGCTCCAGCCTTAAGAAAAGATGGTTTGGGATATCAGCCACAAGTGCTATTGAATTTATCAACATTAATTATAAAACAGAATACTGTGTGAACACAAATGCAAATAACCAAGGTGACCTTGACCCACAGTTGAGGTGGTAAGAACAGATTTATTCCACCAACTTGCTGGCTGGAGGATTTTAATGAACAAGCTGGGGCACATACACTGCGAAGCTCATTCCATCTTATCGGGGCAACAAGAATGTGTGACCTATTCCCCAGCCTCAACATGTCAAAGGCTGGGTCTGGCACATGCACAATTTACCTCCATTATTTTATCTGTGCTTTTTATGACCTCTGCCTTGATCTCTCTCCCAAGACAGGAAGCTCAAGCATGCCTTGCAGAGGGCCTTCAAGTCTTTGTAGACACCTATGTTATCTCTACACAGACATTCTACTCCTCAAAACAGAGGATAAGCAGCACTAGGAATAATATATGGTTTCCCACTCTGTTATGTGCCAGGGCATGGCATTCCCAGCTACAAGTCATTGAGTAAATCTACTGTCCTCCTTGCTATTCTTCCACTTTGAATTCTTTCCTCCCAACAAATGCTATTACCTCTGGGATACAAATGAGAAGAATTTTTCTTTAAAAGTGAGCAAGGCTGAAAACAGTGCTGCAAAAGACATAGAAAGAAGCATCTTATATTCTCCACAACTACTATAATTTAGGAAGGCAAAAAATCAGAGGGGGAATTTGCAGCCAAGGCAGCTGCAGTGAAACAGGTGGACAAGGTGCACCAGCTGTCTGCATAAAAAAGTGCAGGGAAAGAAGAACAAAATATTCTTTGAAAACAAACTCCAAAGAACAACTGTACCTTGTGATCATTCAGGTGATGAGCGAATGCTTTGTCCGTAAAACAAATATATTCCCAAGAGCCAAGGTGGCATGAACACTACAGACCTAATTGAAGGGTTTGGAAAGGATATGACACCTTCAGAATATCACATTTCCACCCTGCTGTCAGGAGTCATTCAATAGCAACTAGAATTGTATTCTACCATCTCCATTTCCAAAGACACAATTTCTCCATCTCTGGCACCAGGTCTGCCGACAACTAATTTAAGTCAACTCACTAGTTAAGATCTACTTTGAGTTTCAGTGGAAATAAAAAACAACCCCAAGAGTGGTGAAAATCCTTTTAAGCTGGTTTCTCAGTGGGGGCCCCACAACAGAAATGAAAGCTGAAAGTGTGAATACACTATTTTAGTGAGGAACAGATCAGTCTAGTGGAGGCTACTGATGTGTACAGTCTCAAACTACCAAATTGTCCTCATTGAGACCAATAGGTCAACTGCCTCAGGAGCACACTGGGAGATGGGAATTGCTGTCCTAATATGATTTGGTGGTTCTCACCGAGTTTTGAATGGTAGAAACATTTACAATGTGCAGCAGTCTGTTATACAGCTCCTTTGGTAATTCAGCAGGAGCCGAGTGCAATTGCTTCATACAAAGGCAAGATGATGGGCCATTAATCAGGAAATTGGTGCTGTCAAGGTAGAGGAGTGACTCTTTTTAAGGTATTGAGGATAGCAAAATACCTCATATTAGCCATGCTATTTCTTCAATCGAACTTCAGGACCAAAAGCATATGCTTTTGAAAGGTTGAATGTACAAGAAATGCAGGATGAGTCTACAAAGGTGTTTTCCTTGCAGTGAGAAATTATGTTATGGGCAGATTCCTAGGAATATTTACAGAAACCTAGCCCCTGCTGTCAGAAATAGAAATAGTAGAAATAAAAGAAAGTCCTTCCAGGCATTATTGGATGCAAGGATAAACAAGAGTACATCGAACCATAAAACTACACATTAACTTCATAGTAGTCGGCACATAATCAAAGCTGCCAAATAGACTAATCATTTTTGAGGATGATTATCTCATACAAAACAAAACAAACAAAACAATATAAATCCAGTGATGAAGTATCAGGATCTTCAAGTTTCAACAAGACCCAGCAGAGAGTGAGGATGCTCATTTCAGTTATTTATACATTAAAATAATCCAAGACATATCATGTTAATTTCCAGACCTAAACTATTATTTTAAACTAGAGAGTTAGATGCTTAACAACCTCTCCCATTGGTCTCATAAACCAGCCACTTGTTTAACTATGTTCCAGCATTTTCTGTGCTGTCTGAAAGTCACATACAAGGGGAGCAGTGACTGGTGGTGCCCAACAGCATGACAGCACTGCTGGTTTACACCTCATTCCTTCACAACTCAGATGACCACTGAGAAGGAACATCATGGCTGAAGTTTCCCTTTGCTGCCATGCCACTGCCTGTCTCATTATGAGATTTAAAAATGCTACAAATCCGTTTTAGATCTTACAAAAATATTTCTACAGAAGACAGCAGGGCAGCATTGCTTGATCTGCATTTTGTTTTTTGAACTAATCACTGCACTGAATTCAACCAATTCAGGTTTTTCAGAGCTGATAAAAATGCACACAATTTTATTACTGACATTTTTTTTTCTTTTTTTTTTTTTTTTTTTTTTTTTTTTTTTTTTTTTTTTTTATATATATAGGACATCCCTAGACACAAAATAAGGCTAAAATGGAAAGGACAAAACTACAGGCTTACCTTGTGGGACACAGGATTCCAGGAGCACAGAAGAGGTGATCTTTCGATCTTCTGTTGCAAATGTACTTTCCTGTTGTGTACAAGGCAGACTGCTAGGTGACACCAACAGTGTCACAGATGGCACAAAAACAGCATTACACATTAGTCACTTTTGTTCTGTTAATGAATGTGTACAACACCTAGTTTGGCAATGCTCTTGATAAAGTCTATGTTGTCACAGCAGTAACAGCTTGCAAGATTGTTGCATTCTTAGACATGTCACACATACTCTTACCATTCTCAGGTTAAATTCAGAGTTATTTATATCGTGCCTTACCTGATTTATTATTTCTTTCCTTACTGTTACTGTTGTACTCATAAACATCCAGAGTTTAAGTTCTAAAATACAATTTACCTCCTCATGCTCCCTGGACATCCAGCTTGTAAATTAAAAAGTAATTTGGCAGCTATGCATTCAATTCTGATGAAATTAATGTTTTAGCATCACGATTGCATTTAGCCATGAATCAATTTCCAAAATTATTTTTTTCATTATGTACATGGAAAAAAATCAAATAATAGCAGAACAAATAGGTGAAATCCATAGCCAACGGAGAACGACCGACATTTGATTCTGAAAATTAAAAATACCGATGAAGAGTTATTTATCAAAATGTGGTGGGGAAAACCATTGCGTTAGAAGCCAAAGTATCTTCATATTTGCAAGAGTATATATTAAAAAAAATCTATTCCTGTTTTTTGCATAATTCTGTTTTCAACAGAGATAGTCCCAAAAATGGAGGGAAACTCCAATTAAAGGACTGCAAGCAGCACAAGACTCAATTACCTCTAGAAGTGATAGGAGTTTCACTGGATGCATAGACTCTATCAAGTCAGTCTTCCTCAGTATAATGGCACCTGCTGACACACTTTATTAAACTGCATTCTATCTTAACTGCTGGTGAATTATGGTCTGGGGTACAATGATAGGTAATATTTTGTACTCAGTATTTTTTATACATCACTGCACTGTCATTGGTTGATTATAATGACTGATTCTATTTAACAAACTCTGATGATTTATTGATTATTTTTTTAAATTCACAGACTATATTTCAGTGGCTAGTGATGCATTCTGTTGTCATTACCTTCAGCTAATTAGCACTTCTGGATTTATTTTTTTACACAACTGACTGGAGATGAAGCACAACAGGCAGCAGAAAATTGCTGCATCCCTGGACAGGCTCAAGGCCAAGTTCAATGGGTCATTAAGGAACCTGGTCTAATGGAAGGTGTGTCTGCCCATGGTAAGGGGGGTTGGAACTCAATGAACTTTAAGGTCCTTTCCAATATAAATCATTTTGTGATTCTATGACAGACACAGATACAATGGTTCTGTGAATCTATGACACAAATAAGACTGCAGTTCAAATGCTTTGGACTGAATTTAAACATGGTATTTTAGGCACTGGAATTCTTCTGGGGAAGCAAAGATCCACTGAATATATCACATCTTAATATGGCTTCTTAATATTAAACTATGCTGTTCTTGACTTTTTTTTAAAGATTCGCACTGCCTAAATAACATTCACCTCAGGACAGTAGGTCAACAAAGTCTAGGAATTGAGTCCCTCTCAAAATACCACGATAACCTAAATGGCCTTCTATTAATAACCCTCTATAGAAATGAAAATTCTTCACCCCCACCACCCCCTGCCAATGTATCTCTCTATATTTAGACATATACTTTTCTGAAAAATAAATATAGAATTTTTCATGTTAATTCATATAGCAGGATAATCTAGGACCAAGGGCATCCAACTACAATGATCAAACGAAATGCTTAAAATAGGTAGGTTTGGTATTTGACAGGGGATCAAAAGGAAACCGTTAGCAATATCTCAAAAAGCATTCCTGTCAGTAGCAATGAGAAACCTGTCATCATGACTAGTAAATGCTTCATAGCTGAAAATGGCTTATATTTCCCTCCCTTTTCCACTTGTATCTGTCTCATGGAATGAACTGCTGTTCCCAAAGGAAACATGATCAAAGCCTAAGCTTGGAGTTTCCATCTTATCTTCCATACATACCGTGTCATTTTCTCTAAGAGCTGTTGCAACTGCATTGTGCTATGTGTTATCTTTTCTTTCAAGAATGTCTATGAATAGGTTGTTACCTTATGTTTTCATTATATTGCTTTTCTTCTGTTAACTCTTAAACTGGCAAGAAAAATAAGTATAATAGAAGCTCAACTTACTGTGATCAAATACCTACTCTTTCCCATTCTTGTTTGCTCAGTCTTACTCAATAAAGGTACAGGATCACAGTCAGCTTTATAACCTCTAGGTATTTTCCTCTAAAGCTGAAGGATGGCCACAGGCAACAAACTTAAATCCACAGGCAGAATCAGATCAGTAGAAAGCACTTGATATACCAGCTTTATTGATTTTTTTAAAATAAATATTCCACTGGTATAATATTTCTCTATTTGGCTAACAAAAAAACCCACCATACTTTATTGCAGTAGCATATTCTCAGCTGCGTTTATACGTAACATTTTATAGACATAGGAAACCTTGACTGTTTTTTCAAAGTTACTTGTAATATTTAAAAGGAGACAAGCAAATGACATTTATGCTTGCAGGAAGTTTTTTTCTTTTATCACTATAGTATACTCTCTGGTTGTGATGGCATGTGATGACACCTTTTACCAAAGCCAACATCAGCTGGGGTTTTTTTATTATTATTATTATAATTATAGATGAGAAGAAAAAAATACACAAAATGAAGAAAACAAAAAAATTATAATAGGGAAACAAATGTGATTCCTTTTTTATGACATGAAATGCCAGGAAAGGAGTTAGAGACAATTCTATAACTTAATAAACACAAGAATGGTTAAGAGCCTTAGTGTTTTAAAGCTACTGGTAAATTAACTGAGAGTCAGTTGCCAAACTGGAAAAACCTCAGAATATTGCGTGTATTTCTGGTCCTTTTATATTTTTTTTATAAATGTTAATTTAAATTGGAATGGATTCCATAGCAGGACTAATACAATGATTAGATGACTGGAAATTTTTTTCTTTAGCTGAAAAACAGATTAAAAGAGCCTGGCTTATTTAGTTTACAGAGGTAAAACAGAAAAGGGAAGCTGATAAAGTCTGCAAATATTGAAGGAACAGAAGCAAATATTAAGATGAAAGAAGTATTATTTCAGTTATGAGAAGTAATTGTCTATGGTGATGCTAAAATGAATTCTGCTTATAATAACTTAATAGAAAAGAAGTGTACTTTCCAGGCCTTCACAGGCAGACCTTCTAAAATGGAAATTAAAATGTGGAGGGAGCACTCATGTTCTTTGCAAATGAGAGAAAATCTGGCAAGGGATCATGGAGAAAAACAGAAAGCTTGGGTTTAGAAGTCTTTCCTAGCCATCCTTTTACCTCAAAGATAAGATTTGCAGGAATAGAACTGTTGTTTGAATGTCTGATCTCTTCTGCTTTAATCTTGTGGAAAATTACAGTTGATGCTTTTGCCTTTCAGATCTATCCAAGTGCATTGAAAAGCATTTTATTAACTGTTATGAGGGGCAGGTAAATATTAAGTAACATAAATATATTTGAAAATGTAAGATTAGGGAAGGGAACAGAGCCTCAAGTACCTCAAGAAGCCCACTCTAGCTTTGTTGTTTATATCACCTTTTTCTGTCCTTTTCTAGCTGCATCCACGATCTGTAATGTTAATCACCGACCCTTCCTCTCTCCCAACCCCAACCATGTGTGTTCTCAAAGATTTGGTTTGATGTCAGGGGGTCAGAGCTACACAGGGAACCAACATGAACACATCAGTCTCTATCACACACTCAGTGCTAGAATTCTGTTACCATTTGCTAGTCTGACAAGGGGAAAAGGCCCCTTCTTTCCTTCTAATCTGTGAGCAGCTGACAAGTTTCCCTTCCCTCCTGCTGTGTGGTGGTGTGTGAGGCTGTGATACAAAAAAGTTCCCCGTCCAACTCAATGTTAGCCACAGCTGATGTTTACTTTCCAGGGCAAATAATCAATTATCAGCTCTACTAAGTTTTCCAGTCTCAGCATCCCTGTTCATATGCCTCACACAAACAGAAGGAGAATCGTTCCTGGGGTCACAGGGACAGATTGCACAAACTAATTCATGGAAACTGAGAGACATAAACCACTGTAAAGCAATAGCTTGCAATTTTACTGAAACAGAACGAAAGTCAATAAAAAATGGTGTTCTTTAAGTCTGGCTTCTTGAGCTTTTGAGTCTTTTTGACTTCTTCAAAACAATAATTATCAAAGATATCCAGGCAATCATTCTCTTTCTTGCCATATTCTCTATCTATTGGAAACTGAAGTCAAATCAAAGTGCTGAAATCATTATTTTTTTACCATTAGAGACTAATGAAGGAGCATTTCTAATTTCCCAAAAGCAAATGGAGAAAAAGAAATAGTAGTGCAAAAATACCATTTATATAATACAGTCCCACAACTCAAACCAAAATTTCCTCTCTAAAAGAGTATGAACAAACTTGGAGTATAATAAATTTAGTAGTCCATGCAATTATATAGAAAGTATCGTCTTTTCCCTAAAGATACTTTAAAAAATAACAAAACCCACATCATTTAATTACTTTTTAAATTAATTTCTTTCAAGAAGCTATAGTATCTTATAGTGTTTACTGGAGAAGAAATTACTCTTCTAACTTAGTCTATAAATAATGGCAATTAATTTACTATAACATGGGATAAGATGGAAAACAGCACATAGGGCAAATATACCAGGAACAGATGAAAATTCAGCCAGTTTTTTTTTCAGGGAAAGAGAAAGCACATTTCCTTTGAACATTGTTTGACATTAGCCTGATGAAATCTTTTCTGAATAAATGATTCGGACTAAGACAACTCTTTCTTCCCCCTTCAGTTTACCATACTATTCATGAAATTTCTTTTTTAATTGTCATCTCTGTGGCTCTGAGCATTGCAGCTGTCCAGTATACAAAATTCCAGAAGCTAATTTACTGCTCTAAAATTCTACTAAAGTAGAATCTACCATTGAAGTTAAAGGAAACTAGCTCTCTGATAGCTGCCATGAA